TAAATGAGAGATACAAAAAATAAATACAAATTACAATGGAAAAAGTTGATCAGATAGAGTCCACATCTTTATTAAACAAGATTTTAAGAGATTTGATCAATTAAAACAAAAAGAGCTTGTACTTGAAATCACTTAAATTAATTATCGTTTCTTTAAGGATTTATTTTACATAAAAATAAATGGAATGGATCTCTTTTTTATTTTAAATATACCATTGAACTAAAAATTGAGTTTTAACCCATCAAATGTAAGGAAAGTGATCATCTGCCCAGCCCAGGGCTCTAAGAGGCTTCACGTTGGTGATATTCAAAAAAAAAATTATAATTTAAAAATTAAAATTTTTTTAAAATTGCACAGTACTGATAATTTGTAAACCTTTTAGCTTTATCATAACGATGAAATGGGAAAGAAGACAACAGTATCCTCACGTTTAAAACAAAAACTTTTTAATAAAAATTTGAAATAGAAGTTGATTATAAATAAGAAAAATTTAAATGATGATCTTACTTCTTCCACTACTTTAATTCAATTTGTTAACTGTGAAATCAAAATAGACAATTAAAAAAATCCATCCATTATTTACAATGAGAATATTAAAATCGCTCTTAAGACGTAACTTTATAAAATTATCCTTCTCCTCGTTAGCCATATTTCGCGCTTTTCCTTAAGGGGTAGAGCTTTCTATTAATTGAGCTGCTACTTTTAGTGAGACATATCTGCTGTAAATTGTATCTAATTTAGAAAGGCTCGTCCGGGACTTTTCTCGGAAATGGTTATGATAAGAGTTCAACAAAAAAAAGAAAAGGAAAAAAAAAAAAAACATTTCTGGTTTAGTTGTTTATATTTGGGTTTAACATCGAAAGGACAAAATCTGAGTTATGTGAATTTTTTTTAAATACAAATTTCCTAAATTCAGTTTCTGTCTAAAAAAAAGTCACAAATGATACGTGATGAGTAAAAATTGACATACATGTGTGTTTAGGAGACTAACAAACAACAAAATCGAATAGAATATTTGAGATTAACTTTAACAGAAAAACCGAAATTTTATTTGTAAAAGGTTTTATTGTGCATCAATGACAAAGCATGAAGGGAAAGAAAAACAAATGTAAAGCTGATGCGAAGTTTATGGTTAACTACTTCGTTTTAGAAATCAATTTAATTCTAAAAGTCATGTCAGATGAAATTCAAACTAAAATGGTAAATGGCTTTAAAATATTTTGTGATAGTCACGATTGCGTGATGCGTCTGTACTTCGAAAATATTAAAGGAGGGAAGGAGAGAGTTTGCCACCAGATTTTTGTTTTTTCAAGGATCACAAAGACATAAAACTGCGGCACATCGTTTATTGGCAATGTACCCTTAAATTGTATTTATAGTCTGCTATTGCTTGGATAAAACTAAAACTGCCTGCAGTTTCGCTCTGATAAGATTCATATCAAGGGTGAGCTTTTGATTCTGGACATATCTTAAAATAAGTGTTTAAGAAAATGAATATAACTCGAAATGCGCGTTTAAGAAAAGCTTCAAATGAATATTTGACGAAAATGGACACAACTCAAAAAGCGTATTTAAGAAATACATAGCTATTCAAAAAATGGAGGTAGCATTTGATTCCTTTTTTTAAATTTCTCTTTCGAGTATTGCTATTTTTTTTAAAGAATTAACCAATGAATCCAAATAAAATTGTTGTTTTATGTCCTTCAATTTCATAAATTACATTCGTCGAATTTTCTTTTTGCTCTGTCATTTTTTGAAAAGACAGAGCTCTGTTTAAAAAGTTGTCGCTGGTTCTTATAGATTTATAACATTGGTAGTAAATTTGCGTTGTAGGAAATTTGATTTTTAAATACCACTTATTTTATCATTAAGCGATCTAGAAGATCGTTCGAAAAGTTACATCTATAATATAATCAGCCAGCTCCGAAATGATTTTGCTTAGAGTTTAAAAAATTAAGCAAAATTCCTGGTGCATTTGGAAATGAGCATTTTGTGCTACTTTCATTTTCTTAAAAACGCATTTTGAGCTATGTTCGCTGTCTTAAATACACATGTTGAGCTGCTCCCGAGAATTGCCTATTTTGAGTATCGAGAATTGACGAGCGACAACGAGTAGAGACCTAACATTTAATATAATTTAACTAAACTATGAAAGGTATTAAGGGATAAAAACTGGGGTATTAAACATGGATAAGGAGAAAATAGAGGGCAAATTTATCTGAAAAGAATTCGTCATCAGATTCGGGGTTGACGAACGATCACGAACAAAGGGGCTAAACCCCCTCTTTCCAATATAATAAATTTAAAATCTTAAAATCATTTGGAGAAATTTTCACACATCCATAGCTAAGCAACCATACATGCGCATGGTTATCTGCATTTTCTTATATAACTTCGTGACTGACAATGTTAACAAATGCTACAAAATTTCATTATATAAAGGAAAATAAAAGAAAATATTTTATTCTTCACAAGAGGTTAAGCCTTTTTAAAACATATATTTATAAAGTGTCTTTCTTTTAATTATTAGAAAAGTGTAAAAAGGGAAAAGTAGAAAATTGGGTGATGCAACATGTAATTAATTATATATTAAGTTATTTTAACGATGTAATTTAATTTAATCTTAATTTTCAATTTCAGAAGAATCGAATTTCTTTCAGTTTCATGTGAAATTTTAAGTTATGTACATAAATAAGTGGAGAAAATGTAATTTTCTTTTTTAACATTTTCTTTTGTAAGTTAATCATGTTACTTGCATTTAAATTAGACACTATATTTTTCTCATAAATTTAAATTTTTATAAGTTAATAAACAAATTTAGAATTTCAGAATCTGAACACAATCGTGCTCACAAGCGCTTTCTATGGTAACATTTGAAAGATTCTTGAAACGTATTTGTGACATGTAAATGGTATTTTTCGATAAGAACTAATAGAAACTAATAGTAAATAATCCAAAAGAAACTAATAGTAAATAATCCAAACTTTAGATTACACAATATATGTTTCATCATAAACATTAATTTATTTATTAATTAATTAATAATTTTTTATTAATTTATAGGGCAAACTGAAGGATAAATTAAAGTGTTAAAATGAAAAGAGCATTTTTTTTTAAATATAATTTACAATTTGATAATTTTTAAGAAAACATTGTTTTGTCGTCAAAAATTATTTCTATTTTATATTATAATAATCTAAATTATCGATATTTTACTTGATGTGAAACGCAATGATAATTTCCATACTTTTTAAATTTTGTGACTGTTTCATTATCGACGGTTAATTTACTCATAAATCACGAGCACTGTTTCATGAAGAAAATAATAATTTAATTTCAAGTGACATTCGTTGCAAGTTATGATTCAATGGATTATTGTGAAATGGTGACGAACCATAAATTTGTGTGATCAGTTTTGAAATTTGTTAAATGGAATCATGATAATTGAGAATTTGGGGGGAGGTTCAGAATAATACTTGAAATTCAGAGGGTTTTATTTACAAATTGCTTGTGAGAGACAACGGAATTTTTCTTAAAAATTTGCAAATTTTATAGGCAATTTAAAAAGAGAAATTTTTTTTTCTAATAATAAGTGAGGGTTATGATTACATACTATATTTACCCCACCAGAACGTTACATTTGTGCCCTGATGAAATTAGTAACTATATTTTATACTAACTATATATACTAACGAAACAGCTGTATTTTTCTCATTGTTCATTTCTTATTGCTTCTTATTGTAACATTTACTTATTGTTCAGAAACAAATCTTCATAGTTCAAATTTTATTTTAAAACCTTAACTACGTAATGTTATTTAATGATATCTGTAAACATTTCCAACATTTATCATTTATGTTAATAACTAAAAGTTTTTGAATTATAAATAATTATATAAATCTAGAAACTTTTTATGATGAAATCGGTTTTCAAAAATCTATAATAAAAAAATTCTTTTCATTATTTAAAAGAATTTAATTATTTCTGTATCTATGTCGTGTTATTTTTAAATTTATGTTGGCCTTTTTTAAAAACATTTTCTAAAAATATTTTTTCATGTTTTTTTATACTTATAGTTTAGAAAATAAGCCTAGCTTTCTCTCTTTCTCAAACTTAAGTATTGTTATTTTCCAGTTTTAATTTTTTTGAAATTATTGTTTTTTTTTTCCTGTTTGTTTTTACTTCCGTGTTTTTACTTTAAAAAACGAAACTCTTTCTTTCTCCATTTCTTACTTAGCAAATATTGTTTCCTAATTTTTTTAATTATTATTTTTTTATATTTCTTATGCTTGTACTTTTGAAAACTTTCTTCCATTTTTTCTTTAACTTAACTTAATCTTATTTAGTTTCATTTTTGAAAAGATTTTTTTTCTATGTTTTTATACTATGTTATAGAAAATGAGCCTCTTTCTCTCTCTCTCATTTTTTCTAACTTTGCTAATATTATTCTCTGGCTTTTATTTATTTATTTAGTCCTTAATTTATTTATTTGAAAGAAAAAAAACTTTTTTCATATCTTCTATACTTTACTTTCGGAAACCTTCTTTCTCTCTCCCTTTTTAACTAAGTAAATATAATTTTCTAGTTTTTATTTTTTGTAATAGCGGTACATTGAAAAGGCCGATGTTTATGGGGGCTTATAATTATTTATTTATTTTAACGTATTTTATTTATTTTTAGCCATTTTTTTTTTAAAAAAAAACTTAAACATAAAAACTATCATAAAAGAAATTCGAAAGTTGTTATCTTCCATTTAAAAATGTCAACCTTGTATATTTTTACTTTCGACAAAAATAAAGAAATTGTCTTTCTTAAAGGCTGATGATCTATACCTTCTTTAATTTTCTTGAAAGTTAAATGAATTATGGTTTTCTCTTTCGTTTGATATAATTCGTAAACTTTAGAAACACTTTTGCAAAAATTATCTGGTTTTTCCCGAATCATAATTTATTTTACATGCTTGATCCGAGAGCTGTTAAAACGAATTAAAGATGACTTACCTTGAAACAAAATCAAAACAATACCGCAAAGAACTTCCCACGCCAACACTACACCCATCTTCAAATTACTCAATAAAGCACTAACAGGTTGTGATGGTTCGGAGAAAGTTTCTGAAGTATGAAAGTGAAAACGATTGATCAGATACCGGACGGAAAAAAAAAACATGGACTGACCTCATTAAAAAAAAAAGTCTAGTAATACAACTTTCTGCCAAAAACGAGCACTGAAGTAGAACTAATATTTGTCTTCCTTGATTTCGATACACATTTCACTAATGAACACTCTCAAATAATTTTAATTTGTCTTCACGTGTTCTACAGATCAAACACAACGCTTAGCTGGAACAGATGAAAGCAATTTCGTATCATAAGCAAACAGCAAACGACTTTTTTTTTTCAAGCTATTTTTTTTCCAGCAAACGATTACATGATTTCTATAGAAACGAATAAAAAATGTGAAATTTATTTATATTTGTTTACTTATTTTTATTGTTCGAAAAGTATTTTCAATTAGCTTTAAATTTTAAGCAATAGATTGAAAAACGGAAACAAAGGAACAATGTCTTTGCCAAGTGTGCACTAAATAAGACAGTTATGTCAGTAGTGTTCCGAGCACTTTACAGTAGTAAGGATTTTCAAGGGCAAAAAAGAACAATAAAAACACATTTGCCAGACGTTGTTCCTTTCTTCAAAATGACAAAAGAAAGAAATTTTTATTTTATCCTTTAATTCGTGAAACATATTAGAAAAATTTCTATTCATGTGATTTTATAATAGTTCGGAGTATAACTCCAGGCCGACTGAAAATGAAAGTTCAATGTTACTGGAAAACAAAACAAATATTACAACAAAGCTCTTAAATACCTTTAACTTCTTAGCTTATTTTTATGTCTTACGTATGCGTAATAAAATGTCCGTTTCAGAAATATGATTTTTGTAATATACTTCATATAAACATATGTTCAGGAATTGAAAATTGAACGAAACTACTTCATTAGAATGAATAAATTTTGGTTATTTCTTATTTTAAAAGCTTTCATCTCTCGCCATTTTGGAATGTAGAAAAATATTTCATTTTTATTTTCTTCGTGATTTTATTATTCTTAACAAAATTTTGTTTATAAAGAGTATTAAATTACATCTAAAAAACTGGAATACAAAGATGCAGATCCGTAACTAAGAAAGAGAAGCACAAATAAGATTTTCAAATAAAATGTAATTGGTCTCGCCTTAACGAACACGCTTAAATCTTGCTCAAGCTTCTTTATCAGTGAATCAATCATTCACCGAATCAATGAATAAACTAAACAATAAATAAACTAATGAAGGAAACAAAAGTGAAATGTTTAATAAATCATTAAATCAAGAAGTAGACAAATAAATTGATGATATTGGGAATAATTAGCTGATTAATGGAATTCAAAATTATTTTATAGACTCTTAATCGCTGATCTCGTTGATTATTATATATAGTATTAAATTTGATTATTTTCAATATTATTAGTTGACAACTTTGCTATACAGAAAATGATCGTAACTGTTTTCTAACTCCTTCTATAATTTGGAAAAAGACCCATTGGCAAAATGGATCTTGGTTTCGATTTGATGACGTGATCACACTTTTCAACTACATACAATAATCAAGAGTAGTAGTAAACAGTGCGCATGCGTTGCCATTGCATGCGTTGCTATGGCGACCGCTGCTGTTTGATAATGTTTTTAGAATTCTTTTTTTCACTCTTAATTTTGTTATGCATTAAGTTAGTGAGTTTATTTTTGAGATATGGGAGCAGAGAGATCTCATAAATTCTTGAGTTGTGAACAAAAGAGAATTCCATCATTTGAACGATTTCGTTTTTATTTCACATATTTACACGTTAATTTTTATAAGTAATTCATAATAATTAAACTATACTAGTTTATATGTTATACTAATTAATGTACCTATTTATAGTAAATTTCAATAAACATATCTAGTTAATATATCAAATAAATAAAGAAATCTAGACTAAATAGTCATCAATTAAAAATGTATGATGCCGCCAAACCCATTTAGGAGGGATGCTGGCAAAGTGGGAGGGCTCCTCTAGCCGAATGGAAATTACCAGCCAGCTTCACCTCATTTGTTTGAAAGATATACCTCTTGATAGCTTTTAGTTCGCCTAGAGACTTTTCTCAAAAATTTAAGGTTATTAAACTTTTTATCAATTTTAAGTAAGCAATTTAGTATTGTATATTGTAATTTAGTATTGTCTGTTTTTAGATTCTCTTTTTTTAAATTTATATATATTTCTGTTTTAACTGACGAAAACCGATGTGAATTTTCTTTTAACGCAAATTGCTCATATAGAAAGACATTTTTCAAAACGTCAAAATTAAAATCATGAATTTATTTTTTTGGAAAGATACGGGCGCGTTTAGTAAATATGTATTATCAGTTTATTTACATAAATGAATTATCAGTTATTTGTAAAAACTAAAAAGGTGATTAAAGGCATATTTAACATTGCTCACACACTTGTGTTTTTATATAATATTTAAGTGTACTATTTATTTAATAACTGAACTTAAGAACGCTTATTGCTGAACAAATTACTTCATATTAGTAGTCTGTAAGCTGTATAAAATGTGAGAGCTAATTTTAACAACTTATTCAGATAAAGTGTAAATGACATCCCATAACTTTTAAGTATTGATTTTCTTCTCCTAAAATAAGTATAAATTTTAAATCATTTAATAAACTCGTGAAAAAAAGACAAAACAAGTTTGAAAGATTCTATTAATAGCAGATATAATACATCATATTCATTTCCATCCGTAAGAAAGAATACCATGTATTTAAGGATGAAGCCTTTTTTACATGTTACTGGGGAGGAAACTAATTCATATATGGTTGACTAATTAGTAATGTGTGTACAGTAAGCAGTTTTTATCTAATGAATCGGATTATTACTTTCTAAGACTACTCTATTTTAATGCTAATTAATTTTATTTCATAACCGGCATTGAACATCAGACCAAATTCTGAGTTTGCAATTATCAATGTTCAGCTCTGTGGCCTTGTAACGATGAATCCAACCCAGAAGGCAAGGGAACTCCTGGATCAAGCATAGGGACAAGCTAGCCTTCGTGGTGAACTTTTTGATGGAACTGACCCGCATTTGCGTTAAATGGAGAGGAAAACAGCGAAAACTTCCCGAGGTTGGTCTAACAACAAGGGAACTGTTACTCATGATCCGTCTACCACTGGGAGTATATTACATCATTACTGTGGTCGGTGCGAGCCGGGTGCGGAATTCGTATCCCTAAGCCATTGCTGGGATAAGGACCTGGGTCACAGCATTGAAAGGCGAGCGCTGTATCCCCTGATCTAGCACGGATAATTCAAATTAATTTGCGCAGATGATAATTTAAATTTCAAAATCAGATTTGAAAACGTACTTTCTCTGAATAAACGACTCTCAAAATAATACCACAATCTGAAAAATATAGTCCCAATAATTTAGGCAAGAAAGAGGTCGAATGTTTGGAACGCTTAAAGCTCAACAAACACTGCAGAAATTAGTACGGTGAAAAGGGAAATCTTCCGCAGTCATAAAATTTAAATAATTCATATTTCCAAGCATTTTATTCGTGTCTGAATAATTTGAATAGTAAAAATGAATAAATAAAAAATAAACAAATGAAATCATTCCGTAAGAGAAATCAAAACCGTCCTTGCGGTTTCCTTTGAAGAAAAACTATTCAGTTTTTATCGGAAAAGGAATACAAATAATTGTAAAACATTGAGAGATTGTTATAGAAAATAATGGAAAATACGTTATTGATAAAATGAAAAAACTTTTCTTTTATAAAAATTGGTTGTTATTTTGTTGGGTTTCAAATCGTCTGGAAAAAAAACTCCAAGTTTTGTCTGACAAAACCTCATGCATTAGGAGTGCTAGAAAGTATATTTATAAAACAATTTAAGTAAGGATCATTTGAAGAATATTTTGTATATTTCAACAAAAAAATAAAAATTCACACAGGCATTATAGTTTAAATATTATTGCTTTTTATTCCAATTATTATTATAAACTCTGGAAAAACTCTTAGAAATGTAAAAAAGAATTGAAAATCGAGATGCACCGAGTACCCTGAAATTACCCTTTACTCGGCTAGATATTCATTACACGGTTATTAACCAGACCCACGAAAAAAAAAATTACTTTCCGGTACATGGTATCCAGTTTTTAGTCTCAAGACCCTGTACCGGCTACCCGAACCCGACAAATTTTCCTGGGTTGCAGTGCCGGGTAACATTCATATGTATTCGATATAACCTTATTCATAATTATCGTAACCTTAAAATCAGTAATATACGTAGTTTCTTAAATTCATAAGTTTCTCCAGTCTCTTAATAATCAAAGTTAAAATAACTAAATAACTCGTACGACACATTGAAATTTTGTGCAAAATTTTAATTCAGAGAAAATTATATGCTAAAGAGAAGTGTTCGCTTCTCTTGGCATATAATTTTCTGTCTTCTATAATTTGATTGTCTTTCAATTTCTTTTGAAAGACAATCAAATTTAGATATATAATGGTGAAAACTATTTTAACAGAATTAATATGATATTTAAATAATTATATTTTTCAAAGTTAATAAAATTATAATGTATAAAATTCAAAGACAATGTAGAAATGTGTGATACAAGTGAATTACTTTCATAATAAATTAGCAAATAAAAGTACATGTTGAAATCAAAATTTATGTGTAGACAAAAATTGATAAACGATTTTTTAAAAAAAAATTTTATTTAAGAAAATATCTTATTTTTTATAATTTAACGACAAACTCACTTGGAAACATTTTGGTTTACGCTAAATTTTGAAAAGGAGCACTTATAAAAATAGCCATCGGGAATTTTAAATAAAATCTTTATCAGAAAGCATTTTTTTAATTCGTTATAACTTAATAAATTCAATTCCAACCACTCTGGCAAAAGTTCTCTTACAGTCGGGTTTTTAAGGTTTTTTACCTTGCTTAACTCAAATACGCGTTATTTTCATCCAGAATTTGATCCTTTACTGCTACTTAGTTTAGGAATTAATTTATGCATTGAGGATTCAAAATTATTATGTCGAATACGGAGATTGAATCGTAAAATTAAGTACAGAAAAAGCTTTATATTAATCTCATTAACTTAACATTGGTAAAAAAAAAAAGAAATTTTTTACTGAATTTCGAAAAGCTTAAAAGATTATTCTGCGGTAAATCTTATAGCACATAAATTGTGTTTTCAGTAATCGCATTGTGAAAAATTAAAAATAAAAATATTTCCAAAATATTTTATAAATATCTACTTAATAAAACCTACACTAATAAATACAATGAAAAATTTAAATTAGTCAAATGAGCAAATGAAAAGAGTTAATTGATTTTAAAGTCTATTAGCAAATGTTTCCACTTCATAGCAAAGTTTTACATTAATCATTCTACATCCAAACATTCGATCGAAATTTCTCTCAGACACTTTTTTTCAAAATTATTTTTACAAAATCTAAAAATAAAAACACGAGATTTCATTTATATAGGGGCACAATAATTTTCGTAAGGATATATCTTGTAAAATATTTGTTTCACGGAAAATAATACGATTTTTA